TTATCACATTTGTGGTCGGTATTACATTTGTAGCTGTTATTATATTCATGGATGATACGTTATTACATTTGTGGTCGGTATTACATTTATAGCTGTTATTATACTCATGGTTGATACGTTATTACATTTGTGGTCGGTATTACATTTATAGCTGTTATTATACTCATGGTTGATACGTTATTACATTTGTGGTCGGTATTAAAACGTATAACTTCAAGTATCAAGTATTGTTAGTCATTTGCGAATGCGCAGTGAAAGCTACTATACAACATACTTACCTGACCTGGGAGATCAATGCTGGAATGTATATAGATAAATAGCAGTTATCCTGAAACCATAACCTACTCTTTCACCAATCGTGTCTTCCACGTCGATTGCATTAAACAATTGTATCCACATAAACTTCCTCGTGGAAGAAAAGACAAAGTAATAACAAACACTCTTTTGCGTGCATAGCCCATTCTGATAACATACAATGCAGTCATATAAGTGTAAATACGACATTTGTTTGGTTACACGCGATTTTCGAAAAGAGGTCAAATACACCAATAATGGTTCAAAGAGCGTACCGTTCTATATTTATGGTTACCAAAACAGCTTGCCCGTCGCGTGTAAAGTTTTATTTTTATAACAATTTATATATTATTTAATTCTAAAACATGAAAATATAAATATGACACCACGTCGTGATATTGAATTATAGTAACGCCGAGTATCTCATTCACAACGATGCGATCGTGTGACGATGCGTTCGGGTCACATCATTGATACCATCAACAATGGCACAACAACAACCTTAATGTGACTTTTTAAAGTAATATGTTATGTTGGTCAATCTATGTTAAATTTTTGAAATTAGAAATATGTTTTTAACCTAAGGTGGTGAATTCTTTTATTAATACAAATAAATATATTATATGTTTTTTCATTTAATAAAGTATAGGCGGGGGTAATATTTAATGCCACTAGACCCATAATTCTGGATATGTGTCCATACATACGACATGCATATCTTGCTCGTCAATCGAATTGTATTCATTTGATACCGTACGTATCATATTGGCTTACTGTGAGAAGGATTACAAAACTAAAGTAATGAAACGAATATGTGAGTTCATAGATAGTTCATTGTCATTTTTATAATGAATCAACTAAATTAGAAAACACAATCACCAAGGGGAATTCAAATTTATTCAATATCGCCAGCTGCAGCCGAGTTTGTGTATCATAAACTGAAATGATTTATCATTTTAAATTCACATTTTAATGATTAGATCTATAGTTTTGCTCTCGGTATATGTATTCTTGGTTCTGCCACATTTTATAAATATTCGCGATTCTATATGAAAATTGGAAATTGTAGACTACATGCGGCACGCAACGATCAATGTTGTTTAACTATTTGAAAGCATTGCCTGTAGATTCTACAATCCTGAATGGTACAAGTGAAAATAACATAACCAAATATAGATCCTTAAACAAAAGTCGTATGGGGAAATCTGCAAGGATACAATACAAATGACTGATAGCAACTGACAAAACAGTTCACACACACAAGTGTCCTCCACAATGCATAATGAAATCAGTAAAAGAAATGTTATAAATACCATGATATACATAAAATAATGTCAGATGGCCATTTTGTCAGGTGGACTAGCATTATTTTGTCAGCACGAACAGTGTGTCCCTTTGAAGCATCTTTTTGCAATAAATTATAGTTAACACAGCGATATTAAATACCACATGACTACGTAATGGAATTTGAGTTAATTAAATTATTTCATTACAATGACAGCCTGTCGAGCAATACACTGAATATGATTGACACCCTCGTTCAGGGAGAAAGGATCAATACATACTGTCGTGAATTCAGTCTATTTGAAAAAAAGTGTGTATTATAGTGCATTGCATGACGTCCATTAAATCTCTGGATACTCGGAAGTTATTGCGACTGACCTCGGTTTTACGATCTATATGTGCTATGGGACAGCAGCAGATCCCATTATTTTTTTTGAAACTAGATGTTCCAATATACGCGTACACTGAAAGCATACTGTTAACGACACAGTGATACGCGCGCGCTTGGAACCGTAAAATTACATATTCTTATAATAAAACTAACTTTTTGTTGATTAAGTGTTAAACTGATCTGAAACAGAATTACTTCGGACTCACCTGTGCGATTATTTGAATGTCTGTTTGAAATTGGATACAGAGTTATGACATATATGATGCAGTAGTTTGCGCTGTTATGTTTTTAACTTTCGCAAACTGTCATGTTTTCAGGCAAACCAAACATCAGCTAGAAGAATCTCAATTACACAAAATATTCATATGTCGGTTAGTGGCCATAAACTGCTGAAAAAACAACATTTGTACACATCATGGTCGACGTTTTAACGTGCGTATTGATAAAAAGGTTTAGACCACATAGTCCGTATTTGACACGAGTGTGGGAATGTGGGAGTGTCATGTTTTACCGTAGAATCAAAGGGACCACAACGTTTATGATGAAATGCAATATTATATGCTCTGTATATTCTCAGCACACTTATTTTTGTATAGTTTGATTATACATCCTCCGTCCACATCCTCGTTTCCTGTGTGGATGTGCTAAAAAAGACCCGTGGTTTGTGTTTTGTATGTGCAATATTAATGTAGAATTACCATCTGCATGCACTATAACAATATTTTGGTGACTACATTGTTAACTAGTATGTGGTTCTCGTTTCGCAATTTGTGAAAAAATGTTTTATTTCACTCAAAAGACAACTTTACTCAATCACCATAATAATGTATTTATGTAAATGTGGGCTTACATATGCGCATGTCCATTACAGACTATCTTTAATTTTCTTAAATATTTAAACCCACTGCAAATATTGTAGCCATTTAGTTTCGTCATATCAAAGTCAATATAGAATAGCCGCATATTTTTCTTACATAATGTTTATTGTTTAAAAAAAAATGATTGGAATACGATGTGACAAGTTCAAGAGAAATATTTCATACGGAAGACTAAAACATTTAAACACATTCCTTCATTAATTGAAAATAAAGGAATCTGAATTTCCTGCATGATTTAACTCAGGATGAAACACCCACCCTAAATGGTTTTGCTAATTGATTGTGAGTAGGCGGACATAAAATGAAAATAATAGTTTAATGTGTAAAACTAGCACTGTTTCTATATGTTTAAATGACTATACATAACATCAAATACATTAATTGATTATGTTCTGTCAGAAACAGACAATATGAAACATTCATGCAAATTAATGCAATTGATTCATGTTATATTGGCACAGTTATGCACACTCTAGAAGAATAGTTTAAAAACATTTTTGTCTTATTCGGTATTATTCCTAGAAAGGGATTTTCATTTTTATATAAACAAAATCGGAAAAATGCACCTCACCCAGTTGAGGAATTTGAAGCTAAATATGAGGTTACCTCCACATATCACTTGTTACGAGAAGCTGGTTGATACGAGCGATGTCTTATGCTAGTAATATATGCGCAATGAATTACGAAGAGAGTATCAACACAGCTTTACGAATAAGTGTTACCCGACCTCCACTTACGACTAATATGATAATGTATGCTAATTAGGCGTGACTTTTGGGGCGCCGATGGCCGAGCAATGATAGTTATGGACGCTGATGGTTTTCAAAATCTGCAGAGATATTATTCTAAGTTTTGTTATTCAGTATGAAATTTGCATAACGCAACAACAAAAACTGGTCCGTCGCACGAATTGGTTATCGACGCGTACTGTTTTAGCACTCACAGACTGATGACGTTTATCGTGGATTTAGTGCTAATAATAGGTCATTACTGTATGAACCATGGTCATGCGATAAAGGGCAATATTTCAACCGGTGGGATTTGTCTAATACATATTCTAACTAGTGGAACTAATTGGAGGAATATAAATATGCGTCTCGCTTTCGTTCCTCCCATTTTGCATAAACATGTTTTAACAGTTTTTTTCTCCTGGTGAATTCATATAAAGTTACACTTTTTCTCTTACTGATTCGACCGATCCGATTGTACGTATAACTTTTTAAAACATTTAAAAAATACACTGGAACTGATATGTTGCACCAATCAACAAGAAGTCGTGAAAGTTGATTTCGATGCAGTATGTTTGTTTTTGAAATTAACGCATAATCAATTGCATGAAATCAAATTTTTTTGTCTTGTTCATAATATGTTTATTTAGGTGTCCCAGTGATGGCGGTCTTCGCTGATCTTTGTAATTAGTCCAATGACAATTTATAGGTACTCCTTATCGATGTCTTTGGATTTAATCTTCTTTCATATAACTCGGCACTATACTCACACAGGTAAGACGTGATTAGCAACACATCTCCATACAATTGACGTCATACTGAACTTTCCATGATTTCATGTAATTTGTCTAAATGGTCCAGGTTATCGAAACTTTTACAGAAATTGCGCTCCGACGTTTCGGAGTCTGTATCCGAGTCCGAAGTGAAGTGCCCTTTGGTATAATTATCATTTTCTTGCTGAGAGAGTGGTATCCATAACGACTTCAACTCGTTGGTCCGTTCGTTGCTCAGTACTTTCGGTTTGTTTGAGTAGTTGGTATGTCCGTTGCGTCTGAAAGCAGAGATATGAAAAATGCAGCAGTTAGCATCCAATGCAACGCAACTAAACTGTAGCCTTATCCGAATTTAGAACAACTATTTCGATTTCATAAATTTACTTTATTGACAACAGGGGCGGACTACTCGTCTCCCGCAATATTAGGCACTAAACGCCCGTGTAAGTCATATATTAAGGACTGTCGCATATTTTCATATCTCATTATTATTAAGTTATAACAAAACACACGTCTTAAAGTTACTCATGCAACCAAACTGTATACTTACGACATCCAAACCATATTTTCTAATTCGCCGAGGCGATCCAGAGCCGCGTCGAGTTCTTGGCTAACTTGCCTGCAAGACCAGTTTCTACACGAACATTGCTCACTTTTCGAAACAGGAGTATACATACTTCGCGCCATAGCCTGTTCAATAAATTAAACATATACCAATTTGTGTGCGATACAGAAGAATATAAGTGTATGTAAAGCATCAGCACACATACAACCTTAGACCAGATTTCCCATAGTAATCGATATCAACTCAATTTTGTTACATTTTTTCGCACAGCCAGTTGAATATTATTCCGGCAGGATGTTATTTAATTACAACGCAACTTACATGTACATACATGACAGACAATCTTGTAAACATTGCCTAGGGAGCCTTCCTGATTGTTATACAATTAAGATACTATTTCCAAGTTAGCGAAATAGAGGAGAACAACTATAACATGTACGTGTGTGCAAAGAACACTTATTAAATAAATTCGGTAATGTATAACGTCGTTATGAAACAATATTATTGCAAGTGTACTTGTCGACCATTTTCATTTATTTTGCAAAATATATCTAATAATAGAATTCTATTGTAATTATTGTTCAATGTAGATAGTTGAAAATATCGCAGCTCAATTTATTTATAAAAATGCTGGTATTATGCAAAACATGACTGCGCCAAACCTATAATAGTGATCGCATGCAATTAAGCCTTGGAAAATACCTAATTCAGTTAGTTTGCGTTGAAGACAATGATAATAATGATAATTATTGCTTTATATTGTTTAGATAATTCTTGAATTTCACCAGATGTACTGTAAAATCGTAAATACTGTGATATTCATTATTCGTGGCAAACAATATTCATTGAAAAACACCAATTTAACAACATCGAATAAGAACAATCGGAAATGTTGCTATGTCACCCAACACACTCTATGTGTTCAAAAAAAAAATACAGCTAAATATAAATTATTTTTTGCAAGGTCGATTTAAAGAATTTTTTATGACGTGACACTTTTATTTATGTGGCGTGCTATGTCCTATTGTAGTAAACTTGTTTGAAAAGTATTCTATAGAGGTAATTTAAACTAACAATGCAGTGTGTGCTCGCTTTTAACTATATCAGCAGTGTTATCAAACAATGAGAAGAGAAGGACATATGGCAACCGAACCATATCAAAATATACTCTGTACGTACACTATTATATATATGTGCTCACCTCGGAAACAACAGCAACCAGTTCTTTTTTCGCGAACCTTTTGGTAAAATAACCCTTTAAAAACTTAAAGAAGAGGTGTTCCCCGAAGAATACCAGGATGCTCACGGCAGTTCCTCCTAATAGCAACAGAAATACTCCCGAGGAGTGCTCAATTCCTAAGGGTTGCCTTGAATTTTCATTTTTCCCTTCACACATACTGGTTAACCATTTTTCAACAAGTGTCTGTAAAAAGCCTGTGAATAACGAAGCAAAGGTCAGTATTACTACAAGCCTAATATGTACCTCAATAAAATTTATCTAACGTGTTTGCTTGAGATGAGCGTACTATTAAGAGAGCGAGAGCATAACTCAAAATATTGACTAGTAATATTGAGCGCAATGAGTTTTGTGACATAAAATCCATTTGATATAATGTAAATTTTTATAATTAAAAATGTTGTAATTTTATGCCACCTGATATAACAATACAGGATGGGTCATCCCATGTCATTTAATGATATGACACAAATATATTATGCAAATTGTGTCATTTGAAAATACAAGCACTACAGTCAGGTGACCCAATTGTTTTGTACATTTTAAAAGTTATAATGACATAAATCTATACTCAGTGTGAGAGTTTGTAGGAGAAGAATTACTTATACTATATACTTATATTTATATATTTATATATTTATATAAGTATATACTTATATACTAAATACTTATACTTATACTCATTGAAACTTTTCTTTAATTGTTATTAAGCTTTATCGTAGATAATCGCATAGTCTGAAAAAAGGTCAACCGATTCTTACCACTATCAGTATATTTAATTATTTTTTCATTGATTTTATGCGTCCAGTGGGATCCTTTGGTAAGAGCAATTGTATAACCGGTTTCCCCGACAGTTTTACCAACTACTTTCAAAGAACAGTCTTGGTCTTTTGCCGCAAGGTCACGTAATGCCGCCTCATCGTATATGAAAGCATCGACTTTCCTGAAAAAAAAATAACAACAGAAAGAAACAGGCTGTGATTCTATCAAAGTAAATGATATAAAATTACAGCTGCACAAAGTGGTGTACTTTGCCAAGAAAAGATATAATTAGTTAGTTATAGAATGCAAACCTTTGTGGTAGATTGAATCAGCTTTCTACTATTTTCTACTACTACATGGTGGAACAAAGGCAAACCTTTTACATTGAATTAGCAGGATAAGACTGAATGAGACATTACATACTGAGACATTTACGCATGTAAGACATAGATTTTGGATCTTTTTAATAACAATCTACCAGATGTATGAATACATTATTTACCAACAAATTCCGTGCCACGTTACATAATTTATTTAAAATTGTACCACTTACCCATGTTTTACAGCCGCCACCGCATCTTCTGCAAGTTCTAAGTTGTAAGGATCCATGTGTTCTTGCATTTTCGTATTCACTTTCTTAATGTACTGCTCAACACTGGTTGACTTAATAGTGCCGAACTTAAGAGGGTTGCTGTACTGGTTTGGTTTTTGAAGCTGTTGAAACAATGTACAGTGAACAAGTATTTTTCAATGGGTCAGCTCTTTCGATAATAGAATGAAACGTTTAGTGCGTATGATAGTAGAGGAATTAATGGATTTAAGGAAACAATGAGATTCATGTGCACTTCACTGCCTTAGGTTCTGTCATTGTCAATATTCTCTAAATATCAATGGGCCTTAGACAAAAATGGCCGCTAAGATCTCGTTAAGAACGAAAGAACCACGAGACTTGCTTTTGTCTCACAACTATCCATTGTCACCACGTCGATTGTGTTCCTCTAATCTATGTAACTTTTTTATTTTAAACAATTCATGCGATAGTGGGGGGGGGAGGGAATAAACACAAATTGAGACGCAAAGCCAAGTCATCCAACTCTATTGCTATTGAAACGAGATACGGATGGCTATTTGTGTATATGGTCATACCACAGGTGTGTGTACAAGTCACAAATACCACGGCATCTTAAAAACGAAAGCTAATACGATTGACTCATGCATATCTTCTGCATCGTAACATAATTTTCTCATCCAGTGTTTATGTACAGTTTATATTTTTTTATATTTAAGCCCTTTACCTTAGGATCAAGAAACCCGTCCACCATATCCGTTGGCGCTTCTCTGATCATGTGGGCGACAAGGTTTGCAGTGTACATGGCGATGAAGATGAGTGAAAAACACCCCCACATGTTCGTCATAAATTTGGCAGTGTAGCTCCTGGGAGGCTTCAGTGGAACTGTGTTGTTGAATAAAAGTCCCCAGACAATCCACAGAGAACTTCCGAAGGTGAACTTGGTAACTGTGGACAGAGATGCATTCAGTTTGGATTAACGTTGGCAGAATAACACTCACGTGGGAGCTCATATCACTATGCTGAGTATAGTTGAGTTCAAATAGGTCAGTGGTATACATCGTTTATTCCAATTTGCATCCTCCATGTCAAATCGAAAAATGTATATACTCCCACTGTGCGATGCGATATATTTTGAATGATATCGACCATCCAAAAATACCCATAGTTCATCAATTATTGAACACGTTGTTTGGAGTGATACAATATACATCCACATTGCGTGGTGACATTGTGCGATTTGTGATTCAAGTAACGTATTCACAAACACATTTTCAATTATTTTCATACAAGACCACGCACTTACTTCGAGGACCGGTGAGACTTCTGTCGTATCCACCGGGACTGAAACACTCAAATACAAAGATGGCTAATGCTACTACTTGTACGATGCCGACTGTCAGTAGAAGCCATACACTGTAATCAAATGGCGCTGTAGATAGGTAACAAAATACATCGATGTTAGATAAGATTCTAGTTATTCTGTTAAGCGCGCAATGTTTTATTTTTTGATGGGTAAGCTGATAAACCACAAAGCAATCTATGCGGACGACTTTCTTGAAAAAAAAACAATATGTAAGGTACCGTTATCCCGTGGGCAACCAAGCAAATAAATACAACCAAAACTGTGTCAACAGAACTATTTACCCAGCCTTGATTAACACAAGATCAGTCATCATTATTTATAGTAACGTGATTTCCCAAAAGAACACGTTTCAATAAATAATTGGACTTTGCTAAATAATACAAATTGTCAGACGAACAGCTACTAACAACAATTCCAAGTAGTATGTGGTTTAAGCATCAAGGTCAAGGTAATAACCTGAATAAAAAATTGTGCTAATTACATGTGTGGATCACTATGGTATGTTTAACTATTTACGCAGCGGCATCTTCGTTTATTCTGTGAAGATTCCACCGCCTTGTTTGAAGTGAAACAACAATTACCTACGAGCATATTTTACAGTAGTCACATACATGCATATAGTGATACGATTACAGACTACACAGCTAGTAAATCGGAAAAAAAACTCAATGAGACACACAAACAAATATGGCCATATTGAGAAAACATTACAGTATATGATTGAATAATCATATAATTCGCCTCAGTAACTATTGACTACAATCGATTTCACAACACATACAATGAAATCAAACCCACTTGTTGTTTTCTCTTCACACGCCAATTCAAAGAGTTTGCAAATATAGACCACTTAGTTGGTTACACCCTTTTGACATAACAAGCCACTAAATTCATTATCTCTAACATATTCATAGCGTTTTTAAAGATATTATATTACTTAGAAATGGTGTTTGAACAGTTCTTACACGCAAATGATTTAGGGGAGTTAGATATATACCACCAATCAAAGTGCTGACTAGTAAATATTGAAATCTTGGCACGGGATTTTATTTTCAAATAGTGTTCTATTTTCTCCCGTTGTAGCGTCAAATGTACCGAATACCGTGGTTCCAAAGCTAAACGGAACAATGGACAAAATGGCAGGAGAACATAGAAAACTATCACATGATCCAACATAAGTATATTTGCTTTCTCGAATTTAGCGACCATTTATGTCTAAAGTCTATTGATATCGTTGTTCATGTTAAACCAATTTTAAAGCAGGGAATTGATGTATGTCACGTAACATAGCGAGTGAATTTTTTTTGCAGACTTACCAAGAAATGCGTCAGATGGGACCATTCCTTCTTCCCTTTTGGCTAAAACACTAATTCCAGATTTCATGAAGGTCACAGATGTATCGATGACACTGGACCTCGCCGCCGTGTCGAGAAGCGACGCTATGGCTGCGTCTGCATTGCCTTTTAATATATCACCAACCATTCCGTTCCACGTGCCATTCTCGTTGGCACCAAACTTGAGATCTTCGACCACGTAAAGGTCGAAAATAAAACCAATGTCTCGACTCAGACGAAGAAGCAGGTCTACACAAAAGCCTATGCAGCATCTATAGTAATGCTCACTGCAATTAAAAAATACAAGTTCAGTGTTCACGGCATAACCTACTGTATGCTTAATTGTTGTTCATAAGGCAAAGTCTTTGCATTATTGATGTGTGTAAAAGTCACTTGCAGTATAAAGTGTATCGTTTAAACCAGCATTCCATAGAAAACCAGTGTTATTTAATGCAAGAGTACAACACAGGAGATCTAAAAGCATTCCAGTAAATTCGACATTCATATTTTCTCAATTTAAGAGATTAAATAAGATTATTCTCATCCTTGTAAATGTTACACCAATCGGTTTCCAAGTGGAGTCGCCAACCCTGTTGACTGGTTTACGTGACACCATGAATAGCATAGTACATCTAAAACTGCATTTAACAGTACGTTGGGTGTTACGCAATCAGTAACCTAAGTGCGACAACTCAATACATCTTGTAACTTTTTTTGATTGGATCATTCGAAAAAGCACTCCAAAAATCGCAATTACCGTATAACAAGTCAATTACATAATTATTTCGATCAGGGTAAATCATTTTGGCGAACCCCTCAAAACAAGCAAACTGTGAGCACAATCAAGTCACGTTTCGACTTTCTGAAGATAACTAATGTGCTCAGATGGATCAGCGATCAATCTAATCACAGAAACCTCCTGCGTATACAAACAGAAGGCTCAATTCCCTCTGGAAAATGCATACATTTCCACAGACAATGCCGTAAATAGACTAATGTCATAAAAGAGCCAGAAGGCTTGCATTTGAAATCACTGAAGATTCAAAAATGTATGCTATAAGCGGATTCTCAGCAAATCGATTCACCGAGAATGTTTTTTTCTTTCTTTTTTTGCGTCATTAGCACATACGCCAGACTCATATTCAGCAGTGAAGGGAGTTTGGGGGCAGATGTTAATGGCAAAGATATGCAATGATTGTCGCTGTTATGCGGATAACTCGAGTGATTAAAGTTACTAGATATATGGATTATTCAGGATGGTCTAATTTGAAGATGTATACAACAGTATTAGTGAAAGCTGGTTTCTTTTTTTAACAATATTCAATCAATCACAGAATATTTTAGTATCAAATTGTGACTATGCATCAATATTTACATTGACACTAAACCAACAAATGTATTGCAATATATAAGTTACATTATATGGTGCCAATTTGTGAAGTTCCAATTTTGTGAAAGTTTTTTCAAATATTTGAAATTCATAAATAAACAAATATATGTATATATTTGTGGCACTGATATATACGATTGCGTGGACCCGTAATGTAGCTTATTCAATGCTGGTCGGCCCCTCAAACATTTCCTAGAGACTGTACTGGAAAATCGATTACACGCTAAACTGGTGTAGGCTGTCACTCACAACAGACGACATCATGTTCTGGCTTTAGGCATGCACTATTTATACGTACTATAAATGTTTATACATTACTAGACACATCTGTAAATTATATAGTTGCTGATATCTTTACACCCTGAAGCTGATTTTGAACTCACAGTAGTGTTCGGTGCGATACGTCAACATTAGAAATATCGTGCATTACTTGGTTAATATTGAGTTCAGAGCCAGAACAGCACAGTGTGTAGTGTAATTTCTTCGTAGCAGAAACGTCTTAACATGAACATAAACATATACTTGTAAAAGGGATTAGTATACTTTATACATGATTCTTGGTACGGGAATTGTGACCCGAGGTTGTGCGGTGGAAAAAGTATTAGTCGTACGACTTAAAAAGCTGTACTCAATCCAGCGTGTTTAATAATTCTATATCATATATAATGATGAAAAACTAGACTAAGTTGTTATTTGTTTATTTCAATAATTATCTCATATTTGCCGTTTCCAGAAATTATGATAATGCGGCGCAATGTGGAATGTACATACTTAAGACGCGGGATTGAGTTCCTGCCATAATTCACGGTCTAAAATTATTGGCGGAATAATCTCTTGATTGCAACTCAATCTCAGATATTAATATAAATGTTTTTCTATAATCGTCGCTAGTGACTGATGTTGTGCTAGTTCGATTCAAACTACGTTTACATATTTATTATTTCAGAGTTTAAGAGGTTTAGCTCTGATAACGATAGGTATCGATAACCGACCGGAACAATTTGGGAAGAGTGTGATGTAATTCTAAATATGGTTATCTGGCTCGACATTTTAATTCTTAATGGGCGGCTCGTTTGATCTGGAATTTACAGGATGATGTGAGACATCAGTACAATGTATTTTGTAGTAATTTCAGTTAAACCATTGGGTAGTAGTTTCATGTATAGCATTCTCTACATTGCAGACTGTGTGCCATGTCTTTCAACATGGATTGCATGAATAATTACTGAATTAGTGTAAAAGGGTCCCGCCGCCAATCTCAGTTGCACGGGATTACTGAGTTATTTTTCATAAGCGACAAATATCCGACATTTTGAGTTTAAAACTTTTTCCTGTGGCTAGTAGAGCTGAACAAACAAACGCCGATTCGTAGGATGGCCAAAACACTACAACCTGCACAGAACACATAGCATTACAACGCGTAAGCGACGCCCGAATCGTTTGACATAATAATTCAAACTAACCGAAATTCGTCAAAAACAAAAGAAGGGTATTTTCAGTTATACATTGTCCATCTGAAAATAACGCGATCTGATATCATTTTACCGCGATATTCAGGTTCGAATGGATACCAACCAACGCAAATACTCATACACATATAACCGGTGATTACTTTATTATACTGACGTCTTTATTTATTTATCAAGTCTAGGCAAGTTCTTTGCCCCTGTATCCTTCGATGTATACACACTTCACTTATATTAAATATATTTCCCTGCCATAAGGTAAGTGTAATTAACTTGAGAGAATAAACGAGATGACCGAGTAGTAAAAAATTGGCTTGTGCTTAAGGGATTTATTGCGTCATCAAACTGTCATTTTCATGCTCATGCAAATGATGGGGCAGTGAATATTATCGCGACAACAAAGGAAAATATCCTAAAATTCCAGAGTTATGGAATTTAACTGTCAATCCATTCAGTTGCACATTCGCGTAATTGCAGTGTTATTAAGTACAATCATGGTTATAACTGGGACACTTTGATGTATGCTTCACGGACTTTCATGTTGATGTTACACAGTAGGCTACTCAACGCGATTGAACTATTGCATTACATAACAGTTCGTACATAATATTTTAGTCATTGCACTCATTGGAGAATTGCACCAAATGTCAAAAGCATCATACTAACTACAGCCAGTGAACAAATAATACCATTGATCCGTTGCGGGCGTCGCCATGTTGAAGGCAATAGCTTAGTACGATATTGACCCCGATGTTTTTATACATCCGATATCGCGTAATAAATTAATATTTATTATGTATTTCCTTCTGGTAGAAACCTGGTCCCTTCTAAACAATCATCTTCTCATACCATGCGTAACCTGAACGTCATCAAATGTGAGTGTATAAATAACAAACTATGATCTGGTACCAATTCATCGTAATCTGCTGATTTTTCCAAGGTCGCACGGACGCACGCGCAAAATAATTCAGGGAGCACAACTCTTAAATTCGTGCCTTTTTTGATGTCCGTCGACATGTTCATGTTTGACAAGCACTCGACTCATTCAGGTTTATGCAATTTGAATAAATGTTTGGTAAATTGACAAAATATCGAATACTGTTTTTTTTCTTCTGCACGAAGTCCCCCTTGGATAGAATACTGTTTTACTTTGTCGGTATGTGAAGGATGTTACAGTTCTAGACTAATTGGTTAGCTTCCTTCATACTCGTAACATGAACTCGAATATAGAGAAATGGGATCGTTAATTACAGTGAACCCAAATTATAACGAGTTTTTCCAGGAAGTGGTAAAGGCTTCTAAAGACACAGGTTCAAGTTACTCTTCATTAACATAAAAGCTTGGCTGTTAAAATTATTGGAACTCGTGTTGAGTGAATAATCCTAGTAATGAATGATAAGGTGTTTTAGATTGATGAGACAAAACTCTATTCGTGCATGTGCCGGAAACCTGAACAGCATAATTAATTAATTAATTAATTAATTAATTTATTTATTTATTTATTTATTTATTTATTTATTTATTTATTTATTTATTTATTTTCTGTCCAACATTTCATTGTGTTGCTCGATACAGAATCTTGCGTTCTTTGTTAATCAGTTTAATTATTTGGCACGAACCTGTTTATTTTAAAGATCGAAAGAGCTTTTCACTTTTTGTATTCACTCAGAGAACACAGTAGGGTCATATCGATTGATAAACAAATGCATATTATGTTATCGTGACATTAACAGACAGTATTTACCAACCCCGTTTCATCATCAAGTAGTCGACAGCGAACCCCTGCGGTGCACTCTTCTTCGTTCAACTCTATGACACTAACGTAAGAACCTTCTGTGATTGTCGTGAACGTAATATGCCGATGCGGCGTTAATCCCTCTGGTTGCTGATGCAGACCACCCATCCACGTGATGTCGTTGATTACTAGTCCGTGTCTGGTCCAAACTCCAACCTGAAATCAAAACATAAATGCAGGTATTAATTATGGGTCATAATCGTGGTTTATAACGGTTTTACCTGCCAAGTGCACTGGGAATATATTTGACGGATGTGCTGTGAGCGAATTAAAATCATAAAAATGCACCTGTGTTTATTTTTGGAGTGTAATTCCCACTGCAACTGCAGGTGGAACACACATAAACACATTATTCGTAGGTGACAAAATCACCTCACCAAAGAAGGCAATTCCAGAAGCTGAGCGGAATCTTTTATCGTATCAGGAGAAGCAGTCTTAGGCCAACATATGGACACCACAGTGGAACGGCGGACGCGATAGTAACATCGTATTGTGAGGTTGCTCGATGTTACAATGACACTTATGTTATCGCCATTTGATAAGAATCTGAGGCGCTCAAGCGGGGACACCCTTATATGACACTGACTTATTTTTATATTAACACGATTGCATTGAATAACTGCCTACTAGAGAAGAATGTTGAAACTAGTGATATTCATCGGTCAAGTCGAACGTCACTTCTCTTACGTGTATAGTTATATATCAACTTGTAATCATTAAATAATTACAAGAATTATTTTATCCATGCACAGTAGCAATAATATTAATATAAGTATGTATATTATTTCATTCAAGAATATTAGTCGAAGTGTTGACTTTGATCATGTTGTAGCTAAACAAACAAACAAATTAATTATTCTTGTTCATGTTGCATCATCTGCATAGCAAATATACAAGGATATAGTACATTTCTGAAATACAAATATTGAATGTTGGATTAATACAGCTGCACGATGCTGACTGATGGTTACTGCATTTACGATGTTTCACTTTTACGTGGGTCACTGTTCAGGTTGACAAGACACTTCTACACAATGCAGACGATGTCTAAAGCAAACGATAAAACACACGCGTGACTAATTGATAAACAATTTTCCACATCGTCACATAAATATATCAAATTAATGAATTCTAAATATTTATCTCATCCATCTATCTATTCCATACGCAGAACTAGTATTTAGAGATTCAATTCCCCCGTTCTTATCCACTGTTAAGAAAGGTATGTCAGTTGTAAACGTTATAAAAGTGACACAATGTTACACACTGTATATTATATTCTGTATATGGCAGATTGCATTATATTACGGCAAGTCCGTGGATAAAATCCTTATGCTACTTACTTCGCGACAGTAATCAAAACCTACATCGATCGAGACGTTTCATAGACATCTGTGTTGCATACATAATTTCAACTAATGATCAAAGCTGACGAGTGTAATGTCTAGAAATGCGACAATCATGATTAAAACCAGCGTTTCCTTGACTGCCTCAGCAGACATGTAGCACATAATGTTCTTATCAATTGAAATGTTATTAGGGGAAGGTAATTTACCTTTAGCCTCAAGACAGGGAGTCAAATGATAATTTTCAAAACTGGTTTTCTATTTTCTGTTTCTGCTCAAATATCCAATCTTAAACTAGAACCGAATGCTGAATATGGCATAGAATAAGTCATTAAGTTGTCTTAAATATCATAGTATCTGCACATAACTGAAAATTCTGTTCGTATTTTTACACTTCAATTATTAATTTTTACGCCAGAATATCGTTTGTTGTACCTACCTTACACAATTCGTGTTATATCTCACGGGCTATAATAACCTTTTGCATATTTCGTTTTAGTGAAAAATATGCTCGTACCTGAATACAGAAAATAATTCACACAGCGAAGTTATATTTGCAGAAACAGCGGGTACGGGCAAATATAAAGTACATCATATACACATGATGATCATGCGTCTTCAGTTTCGCAGCTAGAAGATTTGACCCTAGGGATGACCGTTACTGGCATCAATCATGATATTGCCCTAGAAATCTAGTTAATTTCCTGTCTTGTGACAACCTACAAATGGGATTTAATCGCAAATTTCCACCTGGCGGTATCTTACGATTTCAAATGAATGGAAAATGGTGTGCGCTGAAAAATAAATCGATTCAGCGACTGCATTAGGCCGCGCGCCACTGAGCTAGATACACGTCATTGTTGCATCGCGCCAAATAGGGATAATACCTTCCGCTAAGTAGTTAAGCACAAAAGCACATCACGCGATGCATTGTATCTAGCGTCCGGTTCTGTTATTATTAGACATTCGAATGAACTGTCTTGCGATGATAGTGATGCCTCGAATATTCAACTACACATATGCAAACGAGATGCACTCTGGGAGACCGACATGCTAAGCTCAGTGTGACTCACACGTAGTTTTGCTTTACTATAATTGGTCGTAATGATATTTCTGAATGAGTGATTCCATATGCTTCACGACGACTACAGCTACAGGCAATTGCATACTTCCTTTAAGTTCCTAGCACGTTATCGATCGCAATGAGTCTCTGAAAAATGTATTCACGAATATGGCCATGGCTGTCAGTATCATGACTGTTAAACCAGTATGTTGCAATGTTTTGCTGCACTCAAAGATACGAAAGCTTTCCTTGGGTAGGAAAAAAAAATCAGCACATTGTTTTAAACGCTACAATTTATATATGCCACTGTGCAATTGTGTGTACGCGTATATGATCCGGATATTAAACTCATTAGACCATGCCACATGCATGTTCTCGGTTGGGTATCTGTTTTATTTTAATAATTCATCAGTGACATTTGGGAGCGAGATGCATTCCTATGATAATTAAAATCAAACATGCGTATAATAATTTAAAAAAGAAGAAGACCAATCGTCTTACCTTGTCCCATCGTCTTGAGATTGGTACATTCATTATAACAACTTTGGGGTTCTTTAGGTTACCCTCAATGTCGAACTCGTAATCATCATCAGAATCGTCCGTATCGGGTGATGTAGACAAATACTTTACAAACTTATTGAGCGACTCGGGCGGCCTGTGGTTGCTCTGCCAACAGGATTTTGTGAATTCAATGTCTTTTAGAGTTTCTCTGTGTCCCATGCTTCTCGCATATCTATCAAGTCCATTCAAGTAAATCTTGGTAGAATCCTGTATTGCGCGTTCCACATTGTAAGATTTTTCTCTGTATTTGACTGCTAATAAACCAGTTGGGAACTCATCGGGTATTTCCCCAGCCCCGTTTAGGTTTCGGAGAATTGTCTCGGCACCTATCCACACATTTCCATGCTCCATCATTCCATGTTCATTAGATTCATCCATTATCAATTGTGCCTCTTGTTGTGAGCTGAACAAAAGCACGATGGTGCAGTCGCTCTCGATAATAAGCTTGACCTGGGCTGTCAGATTGTGTTCCATGTTGATCTCGATTTTATCACATATCTCCCACTCCTGGTCATACGACTCGGCGTATTCAAACAAGAGATTTTCCATACTGCTAATAAATATATCATGGTCTGGGATCATGGTAGTCACAATTATAAAGTGGTACCAATCATAGTATTGCAAAAATGCAAGCATGGCTTTGGCTTGGTCCTTCATGGATGCTCCCACATGTAAATAACTGGAATGAGATGTCTGCAAAAACAAAACAAAAACATATGAATTTAATAGTCGAATGGGTTAATTTTGACCAGGAGTATATTAGCTGTCTTCTGGTAAGGCAATTTAACAGGAACATTATGTTAAAGTATTCTAATATTCACACAATAAAAAATCAAAACTAAGTGGCCTGTTTTGGGAACGAGTGATAAGTTGTACTATAATGAGTATACGGTTAACGTGGTCTAATATGCCCATCCATGTCAATCAAAACAGTGACTACATTCCCTGGAGTTACTTGAACTCGCTGGCATATTATATATTTATAACCGATCGGTACATGTTCAGGTTAAGTTTAATGAGAACACGGGGAGCATAAACAGCAGAATAGATTGCGAAACGTGACAGTATTGCTTTGTAGAAATTTGTATTTATGGGAATATTATTATCAAGAGAAAACACAGATTGTGTTGTTATTTTTGGTAGAATTTTGTTATGGAGTGTGCTACTCTTGTTTCAGTTACAAACATCGTTATTTTACTTCACTGTGAGTTCTTTTGTATCGGAATATTTTTTTCAAAATACATATTTTGCGTGATTATGGATTCCCTCGCCTATAGATGTTTTCCCCCCAATTCATGGTAGAACAGGCTGACGCATTACATGACTTATTCAAAAATTATATGTTTTCGAGTAACCACAAAAATGGTCTAATACAAATACCCATACGGTATACAAATAAACACAGCAGAACACGATGATAGATACAATAAAGGGGATTCACACGAGCTGTACCACCAGAAAGGACGCAATAGACAGCTAAATGTGGGAATCATTCTGACATGCTGACGTCAAACTACGAGACAATGTTGTTGAATTATAAATAGAATATTATCCCACTGACAACTCACATCAACTCACGTGGAGTGTGCTTTTACGTAAGTTGACAACGAAGCGGAACGTCGATTAACTAAATAATAGAAGTGATTACGTAGTTTATATGGCGTTGCAAATCAAACGGCATAGATCAAAATCCAGACAAAGTGTACTAACGAGGACGGAGATTGATAGCATTGATGAACTGTACTGTTGCAATGCATAAGTGTATATGCCATCAAAAGCAACCTCAACATTCTCAACATTGATCCTAATATTCTTGTACATCCGTATTGTTACCTAGTCAAATTTGTACGATCACTTCAATTTCGATTTATTTACAAGTTTGCATTTGAAATAAAGACAGAGGTAAATTCAGTTTCGACCTAAAAACTCGTGTATATAACATGTGAACTACTTGCATATTACTACAATGCATATTTCAGCAAACATCAATCTATATCTCGCTACTCGAATTTTCAGTCTTTGAAGGTTTCAACTCTCGACTTAAATTCGCAATCACTATGCGAACATCGACAGTGGATCTGTGTAATTGCATGAAGTACAGGTTTGCACTTAATCCAGTGAAATATACACATACCTTGACACGGGACTGATCAACGTCCAGTGATGCTGATTGTATAGTTGGAATATATTGATTTATTATAAACAAAAATATTTTTAAATCTTTTGTTCAACATACACACTTTTCACAATTTTTAAAAATCGTCTTAAAGTAATCTACTTATTCTGTGCAGATGTTCAAACAAGCAATCGATGACGAACAGCTCATTATCTTTAAAATCCAGACATGTGGGGGCTGGTTGCGTGAGTGGCACATCATTCAGCGCAGCGAGGCTGATTACGACAACAAATTTGAACAAATAAAAATCTTTAAAAAGTTATGTGATATATAAATCAAGATAATGCAGGAACAAATTTAGAGTGAAGAAATACAAAATTATCCTTGTTCAAAATATTATTTATACTTTCATCATAAAACACGTGATATTTAATTAATAAGCGGGTGATGAACGTCGTTTTGTACAATTCACCCGTGACCTTTCCATACGATTATTCTACTTAGAAAGTACAATCTATACAATACAAAATTTATAAAGTAATACGCGTGGTCACATACACTGATGGATAAATAAGACGAATATTCTTAGAAACTGGATATCGAAAACAAAATGATCTCCCAGGGGACACTTACAGCCTTCCTTGTTGAAGGTGTGGAAATGTTTTCTAAGTGGTTATGGTTGGTTGATTAGTTAGAGATAAGCCATAATGTATTCATAGTATGTATAATTGGAAATATGTGACAGGCGCTAGCGATTCTGTGTTACACTAACACCCGTTTGTTGAATCTCATTATATTGCATTCATCATAGTACATTTAGCATTATGGTGAATGAGTTAACCTTATCGTAATTTATTGGTATATGCATGCCTAAAAATATTATTCGAGATATTAGCACTTTATCATCTGCCCATAGGTCATTCTCTGTAATTCGCGATGCAGATAATCTATGCAAAGTAGTTAACATATACGATCATATTTCTTGCGAGTTAGGGTATCCATTTCCTTGTTTTCAATCAAAGGTTATCATTTCTTTCCTTTGCACACTTTATTGAATATGAAAGCTCCATGGAAACAACCACGAGTAAAAATAGATCTGAATAACATGCTAGTAGTCGTATTTGCATATTTACCATAAATCGCATCATTGTTTATTCCTGGCAATACTGTATGAACATTTATGACGGTAGATGTATTATCTATCGTTAATGCTTTCGCTGACGGATGTGGTTAAACTCATCGTTTATTTTTCTACATGAAATTCTACATGGAAGTAATTCACGAATTTCAATAATTTCGTGACTTTGTGCGAACTGCGTGATATTTTTTTCAACGTTGTACCTGGTTGATCGTTTCGCAGTTATTACGCTTTAATTCCAATCTAATAAGAACAAATATTCAGCCATATCACATCATGATTTATTCAATTACTTTGACATTACAATATGTGTGTTCATCGTTCAGCGTCGTTATTTCCTGACACGCGCACTTCGGCTGAGAGAATATCGAATAAGATCGATGGTATAACTCGGTCATGTCTCGTCCGTAGCATAGTATATGTGATATAAAACTAACACCACGTGTCTAAACATACTACATATATAGCTATGACTAATAAAGGCCTAGAGTTTTTTTTTTCGAACGACCATTTTAATAAGTGTGATGCCTTGCGGTACATGCTTTCTAGTGATGCGTTTTAGAGTTTTAATGCATTCCCACCTCCCTATTCTTGAGTGATATACGAATTGCATGCATGTGACGTAATCTAGTATGCTTGAGGTGTCGCTAATATGATATCAAACATACACAACTAATGTGATTCTTTCTCACGTGTTGATTATGAAGTCAATTCACAGAAACATATATTATTAACTGATAGATGCAGATGACATATAGATGTAACAAAAAGTTGGCACGAAATATATAATGCAATCGACGGTTTTAATTACTTTACACTGATCTAAAGTGTACATCTTTTAAACGCACACACGTGAGATGATTATCTGCAAAACTCAATTTGTTAGTTTGACCTTACTAAATAATTAGGGTTGTTGCAATCGGCTCTGACAACGTACACATATTGGGAACGTACGGCACCATAAGTATTATTTGTATTACTGAAATATGGCACATATCATAAATATAAAAACATATGAAGAATAACAGTCATTCCAATTTTTTATGCCAGAAATATTATATATTCTATATTTTTCAGACGTTCATCGACTAGAATAGACCTTTTCATGACGTCCAAAAAATCACACATCCAAGTATTCACCAGTGTTACAAATTCACATACAACGATAATTTGTTTGAATAAACGACATGAAAATTCTCCCATTTATAAACAAGGTAAACAATGCTAAGAGAAACCTTATAAATTGAACTGAGAACGCATTGAAGTTAAACGCATTGAACATAGATATGTGAATACACATTCAATACACTTTAAACAATAATGGCCGCCGCGATCTCATTAAGAGCGAGAGATCAACGAGACTTGTGTATGTCCCTCATATAATGTATCTACCACCGTTCAATACTTGTTTTTAATCGTCTAGCGGGCACGATTCGATTTGACAGCATGGGTGTATGTGACAAGCTCTCTAGGGCGGATTAGTTGTATCATTTGACATCAATTTATGTGAAAGCAATTCAAAAAAAACGGGAAACTGAAAGGTTAAACATAGGGTCAGTAAAGAAGTTAGCCACGTACATCCGAATGGTAATATGATCATGTAGGACAATTTAAGCAAATTGAAAGCGAGAATATTACCTTGTAGGGAGCAGCAAATCGCTTAATATGTTTAGGATTACATGTGACCCGACGTAAATGAATTGAATGTAAATTTGATTGAAATAACTGTGCACATGTGTTATTAGGCTAACTCGGTAAAAAATTTCCATTTGAGGTTTTCAATAAAATAATATTGCCCATGGCTATCGGGGGTGGGTGTCCTAGTTTTGTGTTTATTTGTTAAATCATTTCACGAAATGCAATATTCTATCTTACGCCCCAGACGAGCAAAGTTCATTTTGCTAATGCGCAGACAGTGTAAGGTTATTTGTCTTTTGCCCTTGAGAACATAAGTTTATTATATATTAATAGCTACATTGCAGTTTGCAGAAGCAATGTGTTTGTCACTCGAGCAATGTGAATACTTATTTTTCAGATCTTCTGATTTATTGTATCATTTTAACACAGTTTCAAATGTGATATACAAAAGCAATCAATTCGTGGTCAAAAGGTTAATTCTGTTACCTATGATTCAAATGACAACCGAATTATTTTATCCAGTACAGTTTATTTTCAGAGTCTTGGTAACGTGAAATCTGAAAATGACATGAGCAATAAACCGGCTGCTACCATCATCTATTGTCAAACACAAACGACAAACAAATTGCTTTTCGTCATTTATTCCAGGTAAGTCTGTTACAAAGGCATATATTTACATATGCTATACTAACTACATTATAGTTTTGCGTGTGGTAGAGTTCATGACCTTATATATCAATATATAATGCAGTATTATAATCGAATAAATTACAGGTTACTTTTGTTAAATTCAATAAAGAT